CCTATCTCACAGGACTGTATTGAAGAAGAAATGGGAAAATATACAAGACTAATATTCTTTGGTACAAAATATCACAGTCCAGGCTGCTTTGAGTTTGTGACATTTTATCTTGTGCATTTTATCATATGCACTTTCTGCCCCCTATTTCTATCCCTCAGCGGTGACCTGGGACAAGTGGAATTACGGTCACAACACTGTCCTCTTGATAGTCTCTGTTTCTGATGTTGACTCAGTCATCCCACCTTCCAAGGCCCTTGTATTAAAAATCTCAGATTGTCCAGATAAAGGGTCACAAGCTCAAATCAACCTGGACTGTGGTATTTTGTACCAAAGAACATTAGTCTTGTGTATTTTCCCATTTCTTCCTCAGTGCAGTCCTGTGAAGTTGGTGATCATCATGGCCATGAGCCCTGTCATCCTCCCTCCTTGACAAGGCTGGCGGCCAGTGCGTAACTCAGGCAGCTGAAGCGACTCAAATCAAGATGAATGAGCAGCAGAACTTGGACACACTCTTTTCACCACTTTTTCCTTCTCCTTGCCCTCTTTTCCTCCCATCCTCCTCCTCCATCAAATCTCTCTTGGGCCTCTCCTAAAACAGGATTCTGTGCTGGATATGCTATGTCTACAGCCTTCATTCATTCCTTCATTTAAGTATCTGGGCTTCTCAACTAAATAACGAGGGGAAACAAAATCTTCACACAAAGAAGGAGAAAGTGACAAGGTCTAAACACAAAGTGGCACAGGAATCAGAGAAAGGCGTCTTGTGCAATTAAGGGGGACTTCCCAGAGGAGGTGGGGCTTGAGGTGACCCTTGAGAAAGGCTGGTCTCTAACCCACAGCCCAGTAGGCAGAGGCCTTCTCAGGAGGGGGAAGTGAGCCAGGGAGTGGCAACGGCCAGCTCATGAGAACAGACGGTCTGACTCGGGAAAAGAAGAAATATCAGGTAAAAGAAGGGAAGGAGCCAGACTGAGTCAGCACCTGGCAGGGAAGAAGACTGAACCAGTGTGGAGCCCTCCTCTTGCGGAGGATCGTTTGCAAAGCTTGTCAGCACTGCTATGACTGATGCCAGCAGGGCGTTTTCAAAGAGGCAAACATCCTTTCCACGGAGTCCAGCCTCATTTACACAGGATGGCCAAAATGAGCCAATTAAAGGTTTCTTTCACAGATTTAACTCCCCTTGAGGGAGGTGGTATAGGCAAGGGCATAGATCAAACCGATTTTATTCATTTAAAGGCACAGAAAGCAGTCAGGTCAGGCAGTTCCTGTGGCAGAGAGACGGATAACACTCAGCAGTGGAAGGGAAGCTGCCAGAACTTGAGAGCCTCCGTGGGAACCGGGCTGCCGGCCATGACTTCAGAGAGCATGGGTCACAGCTGACCTCTGGGAAACACAACCATCTTTCCTCAGGTCAGTCTTATATGCGTTAGCCTCCCATAGAAGGGGCAGGGACCACGTCACCTTAGTCAGGTTCTGCTTCTCAATTGCAGAGGGCTTCCCTGGGGGCTCAGATGATAAGGAATCTGCCTGCAATGCAGGAGACCTAGGTTTGATCCCTGGGTTGGGAAGATCCCCTGGAGAAGGGAATGTTTACCCACTCCAATATTCTTGCTGGAGGATTCCACGGACCGAGGAGTCTGGTGGGCTACCGTCCACGGTGTCACAAAGAGTCGGACATAACTGAGCGACTTCCACTCCACCAATATACAAAATAGAAATCCAATTTGTAAATCCAAAAAACACATGTGCTAAAAGTCAGAGTCTTCACTTAATTTAACATAGTGCTTGGCATTTAATAGGTACTTAGTAAATATTCTTAAGTAAATGAGTAAATCAGTTAATTCTATTAAGATAAGATTTCTGTTCTATTGTGATGCAGAACTTAATTGGAAATAAACTTCTACTCACCAAACATGCACATGACACACACATTCATAAACACAGATGGGGACTTTATACTGTCTCCTTTTTATTTATTCAGTATTAATATTAAATCAGATTAAGAATTCTTAGCCATTTCACATCTTCCATGGAGCAGGAAGAATAAAAACTAGCTGAGAAGAGGCTGGGGGAAGTCAGCCAAGCTTTTGGTCTCTGACTTAGGGTTGCCAGATAAAATAGAGGATGCCCAGTTAAGAGTGTCTCAAATATTGCAGGAGATATACTAGACAAGTGTTTATTATTTATCTGAAATTCACATTTAACTGAGGATCCTATATTTTTATTTGCTAAATCTAGCAAACTTACTTGGACTTTTCATCTATAAAATGGGAGTAATGATAATGATTTCAATGCCAACCTTATAGGGGCATTGCATCTATATTCCGCCACCCAAGAGGGCAAGTGGAATAAAATCTTGTGCCAGGAACTCTAAGGACAGAAAGCAGATCTTGTTGTCTGGGACTTGAGGTGGAGGGAGGGGATCAAGGGCAAAGGGGACAAGGAAACATTATGAGTGTGGAAACTGTTCTCTGTCTTGATTATGGTGGTGGTAGATTAAATATATTTATAATCAAATATATTTATATATTTATAATTCATCATACTAGACACACACAATTGGGGAATTTTATTGTGCTATGCTTAAATAAAGTAAAAAAAATGTTAGCTTAGGATGCAGTTGTTTTTCTGATATTTTGTCAACTTTGATAAGGAACCACAAAATGGTTAGAACAGGTTCCAGAGATCAAATCTTGGCTCCAACACTTGGAGCAGTACGACCTTGGGCAAGGTGTACCTCAGTTTTCTCATATGTTAAGTGGGGCTAATTATAATCCTAGCTCATAAGACTGTTATAAAAATTAAACACAATATTACATATAAAGCTCTTGGCACCAACCTTAGCACAGAGTAACTGTTAGTTATTGTTCTAAAGTAATAATACCAATAGCCACCTCCTAAGATCTAAATAGTTTATTTAAAAGGAACTGTTCCTACAGAAAAGGGAAACAATGATACATGTAAGATGGTTGGAAAATGGATAATGAAATCCTCACTTTAGAATTTTGAAAAACAAATACGAAGTATTCACTAATATCCATCATATACTCTACAAAAGGCAGATCTTTGTGGCAATCAGAATTGGTTTTATGTTTCTGCTTCAGGTCCTGCTAGAATTTGATAGGTCCGAATTTTTCTGAAAACAAGCATTTTTCTGAGTTTGTTGGTTTAGGAGGGTTAAGCCTCTGAGTCAGTAAATATTTACCGAGCACGTAAACTATGCGCCAGGTTCTCTGAGAACCTGGACTCTAAACTTCACAAGAGCCTTGTGAAGCTGATATCCACAGTCACCGACCTGATTATTTCTGAGGAGAAAATTGAAGGTCAGAGAAGAGGTGAGGTGTCCAGCCAGGAAGTGGTCAGTCCATCTCTCCCTTCTCTTCTCTGCCGACTTCTGCCTTTTACCTGTGATGGCCACCTCCCCAACCTGACCTCACATGCAGGGAGGCAGATGAGGGTGGGAGGTGACCCTTACGTTCATCCTACAACTAGAGTTTAGTTGTAGATGTTTAGTTGAGTTTAGTTGGTTTAGAGTTGCCTAAATCAACTCTACTGTCTCTTCCTCCAAGATCCCCATCTGTAGTCCTCCCAACTCCCAGGCAGATTTCAGTCACAAGTAGCTTGTCATCCTGCAGAAGTCTGAATCCATGCCCTTTTTATTCAGCCACTGACAGTCATTTCTGAGGACCTACTGGGTCACAGGCACTGTGTTAGGTGCTAGCAATTCAAAAATGACCACAAAAAGCAACAAGCACATTACACCTGTTTTCACTGAATCCAGAGAAACTTAGTCATATCTTGAAAATGGACTTTTCCAACACACTGGAATGTATGAGGAAGAAGGCTCGCTTCAGTGATGTTTTTATAATGGTATAATAATGGAACTGAGCTGTCCATCAACAGGAAATGGTCTTAAAGAAAATATGATATATTTACTCACTAGAAACCAGAGATTATCTGGAAGGACTCTCCCCAAAATGTTAATAACTATTGCCGAGGCGAGCTTTTTACTTTTTCCTTTTTTCTTTCTAACTTTAGGTATGTGTTTTTTATAATTGGGATATAAAATCTTAAAAAACAAACAAACAAAAACTGTGCATGAAGGTGGGAGAAAGGTGAAGTTCATTTCCAAACTTCCATGTACTCCTTTAACCCACTTTGATGACTTGCAACACTTCCTTGTTAGGAAAAAAAACCCATTAGGCCTGGTTAATAAATCAGTCTTCATGCTGAAAGAAAGTGTCATCAGGACATCAGAGTGAGAAACTAGAGTGGAAAGTGGCCTTCTAATTGAATAATTCCTCTGTTTCCTGGGTTTCCAGTCTGCCCATATTTGAAGCCTATGAATACCTTCCTTTGAAAACAAAAATAGAGACACACCGGTTCAAAGGGGAGAAAATTAAACTCTGGGAGAAAGAAAGTGTTAGTCACTCAGTCGTGTCCAACTCTTTGCAACCCCATGGATTGCAGCCCGCCAGGCCCCTCTGTCCATGGAAATCTCTAGGCAAGGATACTGGTATGGCTTGCCATTCCCTTCTCCATGGGATCTTTTCAACCCAGGGATCGAACCTGGGTCTCCTGCATCACAGGCAGACTCTGCCATCTGAGCCACCAGGGAAGCCCAATACTCACATACCAGAGACTGAAGACTACACCTTGATCTAGACTTGGTTTGCTCATTTTGCACAAGGATATTGTCTTGGGAAAACAACTGGCATTGAAATGGAGCGCAGGTTGGGCTGGTGGGGATCGCTGAGCTGGGGTGGGTTGGATAATTAATTACCTACCCCGCACCGCACCTCACCTCACAGCTGTAGGTGATTACACCAGGTAACGTGTCATTGAGCTGTATGCCAAGCAGTTCAGATTAACCAGTTACCACGACCCGGATTAGAAGTCCAAAGCCCTCAGGAAGTACGGTGTCTTGTCAGAGTCAAGCACCCAGAGTCCACCGCCGCACTGGAGTCGGGTGGGCCGGCTGGGACCCGCCTGGGTCCGCTCACCTGTTCATTCCAACGATGCAGCTGGCTGTAACGCACCTTGCAGAACAGAAAGCCGTCCAGGTACACGGAATACAGCTGCAAACAGACATCAGAGTCCGAATCAGCTGAGTGAGGTGAACCCCCGCCCCCGCCTTTGTCCCTGCCCAGTCTCACCCCGACCCCCCCCCCCCCCCGCCCGGCGCACCACGTAGCGGCCCCCCAGCGCATCGGGCCGCTGCTGGGACACCGGGATGCAGAAATGCATCTTCATGGCTGGGGCGGCGCTGGGAAGCCGGCCCGCGGCGGCGGCGGAGCGGCCCTGGGCTCTGAGCCCCGCGGCGATGGGTGCAGCGGCGGGCCCCGCGGTCCGCTAGCCTCGGGTGTCCCCAGGTGCGGCCCGCCTCCTGGTCCCCGCCCCGCTCCGACTGGACCGCTCGGGTCCCTGGAAGGGAAGGAGGTGAAGCGCGGCTATCGTCCACGCCCCACAGCCAGTCTGCGCCGCGGGGCCAGCGACAGAATTCAAGATAGACGCTAGAAAATGCCAGTGCCCGCGCCTTGGGCCAGAGGCTTCACCCTGGGGTCTGTGGACTCCTGGGGCTCTTTAGCGAAAAATGTGCATGGATGGGTGAGGCAATGGAATTCTTCTGAGAAGGTCCTGGGTTTCATCTGACTTTCAGAGAGTTCCTTGGACCCACGAAAGTCACAAATCGTTGCTCAGTGGCGTGGATGTCGTGTGCACCTGCCAAATGCATAACTCACTAACTAACTACTCCCCACCCCACCGTGGCATCTCAGGCTCTTTGCTGGGGTTAGGGGCTGGGGGATGCACAGGAGAATCCTCGTCTTCTCCAAGTGTGGGCTCCAGGGCCGAATTCTGATCTCTGTGGCCAGCAGAATGTCCAGGCTCCCTTCCATTAGGTCCATCATGATACAGACAAGTCACATGCAGACCCACCCTCAGACTCCAAATGTTCACTATTTTTTTTTTTTTTTTGCAAGTCAGTGTCCTGATAGGATTGAAAAACATTATGTCCCATTGCCAGCCAACATAGCCTGCAGTACACTGTGAATTAAGATTTTCAACATATGCCTACATCTAGTAATTACCCTGGGCTTCCCAGGTGACTCAGTGTTAAAGAATCTGCCTGCCAAGGCAGGAGACTCAAGAGAGGTGGGTTTGATCCCTGGGTGGGGAAGGTCCCCTGGAGGAGGAAATGGCGACCCATTCCAGTACTCTTGCGAGAGTACCAAGATTCCATGGGCAGAGGAGCCTGGTGGGCTACAGTCCATGAGGTCACAAAAGAGTAGGACATGACTTAGCGACTAAACAACAAGTAATTACCCTATGACTAGAACATTTGTATTAGGTTCAGTATTTTGAATTAACATTTGTTAAAGGTAATACTTAAGAAATGCCATAGTATTTGCAATACCACTTTAGTATTTTTTTAAATACTAAATATTTTTCCCTAAAAAAACAAAAACAAAACTTTTTTCCCCTTAATACACCAGAAACCTCATCAAATGGAAGTGGTTTGGGCAACTCTTGATCCCCAAGAAGCCCTGATTTCAAACAGGTGCCAGCACCCAGTTAGCCAGGTTCCCCTAAACTCTTTGGTCTCTGGACTAACCATCTTAAGTTCTTTCAGCAGTGTCTCATTTTAATTGGAAAGTAATCCTCCTAATTCTCTTATTTTAGTTAAACCAAAATAGCATTCCTGCTGCCTGGTCCTCAGGACGGAGGGAAGGTGGAGGGAGGTGGAAGTCCCACGCATGTCTGTCATAGGTCGGCCCTTGGCTCTCTCCTCGCTTCCTGTCCTTTGTATGTTGTGCTAAGTCACTTTTAGTTGTGTCCGACTTTTGGGGACCCCAGGGACTGTAGCCCGCCCAGGCTTCTCTGTCCATGGGATTTTCTAGGCAAGAATACTAGAGTGGGTTGCCATTTCCTTCTCCAGGGGATCTTCCCAACCCAGGGATTGTACCAGCATCTCTTAGTTCTCCTGCATTGGCAGTCGAGTTCTTTACCAGTAGAACCACCTGGGAAGCCCAAGGTGGACACTGGGCTTTATCCTCTTCTTTATCCTCCCATTAAGTCTTCCAGGCAAACCTGAAGAGTAACATCCTACCAACAACAGGCCAGAGAATGAGGTAGCTTTTCCAAGTCACAGATCAGTTTTTCATAGGTCCAAATAGTGTATTCTAGAACTTCAGCAGAACCATGGAAAGTCCTTTAAGATGCTTATAATGGGTGAGAACTGAGGGCCTGACGTGAGAAGCTGAGACAGGGAAGGAGCGCAGCACTGCTGAACCCCGTTGGTTCCCACCGGCTTGCTGGATGCCGGGCTCTGATGCACACCATGCCGTTCAATATCCCCAGTGACTGTGAGCTAGGACTCTGTTCTGCTTTTTCAGCAAAGGGAATTGAGATTTAGAACCCTGGAGTTAGGGAGGCTGTAGAAGGCAGTGTGGCTAAGAGCGTGGCAGTAGGAATTTATATCCCAGCTCAGCAGCCTCTCACTCAGAGGTCTTGGCATGTGAGTGGATTCTTTTTTTTTTTTTTTTTTAATATTTATTTATTTATTTTTGGCTGTGTCTGGGTCTTAGTTGCCATACACGGGATCTTATATTGTGGCATGCGGGCTTCTCTCTCTAGTTGTGACATCCAGGCTCCAGAGCCTGGGCCCATCAGTTGCCCCGCTCCATGTGGGATCTTATTTCCTGACCAGGGATAAAACCCACGTCCCCAGCGTTGGAAGGCAGATTCTTAATCACTGGACGGCCAGAGAAGTCCCTGAATTCTTAAAGTGTGTACTTTCCTTCTCTGAAATCATGTTAACTACGCCACCCACTTCAAGAGGACTTTCATTCCAGGACAGAGGGGGCTCAGGGTTCTCCTTTGCCTGTGGGCCCCCTCTAATGTGGAGGGCCACTCTAAAGCAAGGCCAGAGGTGTCCCTGAGCATCCCCTTGACCAGAGGCTAAGCGTACGCTCTGGGGTCTGTCCAGTCTTCAGGCAGCAACGTGAAGCACTCTGCTCAGGTTCCTCCTCCTGGGGACTTACTTCTGTCTGTGAGGGGCCTGGGTCCTGGCTCAACCCCCAGCAAAGTCCAAACAGGCCACTTCCTCCCTTTAACTTATGTCACACCTGAATCCGAGAACAGGACTGGCCTCTCTGTAAGTCCCTGCCCTCCTCCATGCCTGATCTCTGCCCCTGACAGGTCTTTCTTTTAATTGAAAGATAATTGCTTTATGATAATGTGTTGGTTTCTATCATACATCAAATGAATCAGCCATAGGTACACATACGTCCGCTCCCTCTTGAACCTCCTTCCCACTTTCCACCTCATCTCACCCCTCTAAGTTGAAAATCAGGTCTCAATCACTCGTTGTCAATGAACATTTTTTTTTTGCTGGACTATTTTATTCCCAACTTTATTGAGATATAATTGACATCTAACATTGTGTAAGTTTAAGGTGTACAATGTGAAGACTTGATACATATATATATTGTAAAATATTACCATGATAAAGTTAATTAATATATCTATCACTTCATATAACTACTTTGTTTTTAGTGAGAATACTATACATAGTATAGTATTATTAACTGTAGCCACCATACTGTACATTAGATCACCATAAAATTTTCATCTTATAACTGGAAATTGGTACCTTTGACCACCATCACCCATTCCTCCATCCCCAACCCATGGAGACCATCAGTCTATTTGCTCTGCAGCATGTGGAACCTTCCTGGGCCAGGGATCAAACCCATGTCACCTACACTACTCCTAATCATTGGACCATGAGGAAAGTCCCTTCTGCCCATTTTTAAATCATAATGCTTTTTTTTTTTTGCTAATGAGTTGTGTAAGTCCTTTTTATATTTGGGGTGTTAAACCCTTATCAAATATATGACTTGCAAATATTTTCTCCCATTTGGTAGGTTTCCTTTTCATTTTATTGATGGTTTGCTTTGCTCTGCAGAAGCTTTTAGTTTGATGCAGCCCCTCATTTATTTCTGCTTTTGTTGCCTTTGCTTTTGGTGTCATATCTCAAAATTCATCACCAATACCAGTGTCAAGGAACTTACCACCAATGTTTTCTTCTAGAATGTTTAAGGTTTCAGGCCTTACATTCAAGTCTTTAATCCATATTTAATTAGGAGGGATATTGTGTTAGACAGTGGTCAAGCTTTCCCAGCACTATTTATTGAAGAGACCAGATGGCTACTTTTCAAGGGTGATTGTAAAATCTGTGCCATTTCTTTATATCCATGCTCTTTATAATTTTTAACTCTTAATGAAGTTTTTAAGTAAATAAATTTTATGCTGCTCATTCTGAATCAATTCTAGATTATTTTCAAGGGGTATTTTAATTTACTCTGTGTCTGGAATGTGGTAGGCATTCAACAAAAGCTTAACATTTGTTCAGTCAAGGATGATTTATTGAATGCCTGCTATTGGCTGGGCATTGCAGTGACAGATTTCAGTACCCTAACCTCACAGAACCTACAGCCTAGTTTACAGATTTTTTTAAAGGCAATTTCTATAGTATTACCAAACAAGTACACATTTCCTGCTTTTTAAGCCTTTAAAATATTATTTGCATATAGTTCTTTATCCTATTTGTAATCATTTTGGTCCTTTTATATATGGTACCCACACTCTTTCTGAGGATATGAATAATGAGACTGAGTTTCCTGCCTCTCCTGAGTCCACACCCTCAGGCCTCTAGGATGGGCAGTGTAGTGGGGTCCATCAGAGAGCCAGCTGGGTGGTTCATAATGACTGGTGCTCGCACGTACGCTGAGGGAACCCATCCATGCATACATGCCCTTTCCTCTTTTCTTATAGCTCAGTCTTTGGGCACCAATGGTCAAAGCCATGGGCCATATGAACAAAGGCACTTGAACAAGCATGCAAAGTTTCCGGGTTGATGGGCAGCATTTTAGAGCAAATATACTAAGGTATAAGAGGCGTAAGATGAGGGGTGTGAAATTAAATCTTCCCATCTTATTTTTCTTCATTTGTCAGCATTCTCTTTAGCCCCTTGAGGTGCAAACAGGTGAGTCATAAAGGAAAACTGGAGAGCTTGGGCTGTGTGTCTCTTTCTGTCTTGACTCTGCCCGTATTGGGCTGTGCTGAGTGTTTTGGGCCCCTCAGAACTTGAGAGGACTACAGAACTATAGAAAACATAAAAGCTGAAAAATTATACTAATGGGTCGTTATGAAACATCCAGGGCTTCTAGGTGATTTTATGATCTGGAACC